ACTATAGGAAAAAAAAGTTGTTTTGTTGTTCAATTCCGTTGTTCCATTTTTGGGAGTGTGTCACCGTTAGAAAAATAGTTATAGTTTACCGTAATAATCTTGTAAATGTTAGTTTATTGTTGAATCAAACTTGTATCGAAAATGATCCATTCATACAAATCTATTGAATTTGTTTTTGTTATACATACACAAACAAGAACACGGCATTTCGAACATTCGATGTTGAATCCTCAAAATTCCCATATATATTCAATATGGACAGGTTTTATGAAATAATAATGTCTATAATGATGGTTCGAACATGGAAACCCAAAATTCTTCCTGGAAATTTGAGCAAATCCGATAGAGAGAAAGAGAAAAAGAAAGAAAACACAATACAAGCAAATAAAAATTGATCCTAGTAGAACAAGAATTTACAAAAAAAAAAAAAAACAAATTGCAAAAAAATACGAAATAAACAAACATTACCAATGATGAACCTGAAAAATATGCTCTTGGTTTCCGAATAAAACATTGATTGATTAATAGAGTTGACAAAGAAAAAAATCCCCAAGATTAATCAAAAAAAAACGATGCGATTGCATTAAAAACTAGGGCCAAAGTTTCTAATGACAACGACGACAACAACAACAACAACAACAAAAAAAAAAAAAACATATGGAAGACTAAAATGTTCAATATTACCGTAATAATGCATGTTTGTGTATTTCATATTTTGCTTTCAATAATTCTATTCCTTTTACGTAATTTCAATTGCACAGAAAGGTAAAATGATGAAAATAATTTCATCCATTTTGTTTGTTTTGACGTGCTTTCGTTGTATTCATCATTGATTATTTCATAACTTTGACATCATCCTGTTATTTTTCCTTTTTCTCAATTTTGTTTTTTTTATTTACGTTTATCTGTTTTTATGAATATATTGTCATAACGGAAATATGATTCGGATCGTCATATGAAATGTTGTTTTTTTTTGTCAATTTTCCCCTATCAAATAAGCAGTTTTATACAGAAAAAAAACATCAACATATGGTCATTGACGTCGATGTTATTGGATATTTATTTAATACATGATGTTTATGTCGTACGTGAATCAAGCGGATTGATGAATTTGATTATTACGATATTTTGTAATAATATATCTAATTTTCAATATAAATCAGTATGTTTGACAACGGAAATTCTTTTACCAACTAACTTGGTCTGATTTCATAGTCGTGAATTAAGATATGATTGATTTTTTTTCTATTTCAAAATTTTCAATTTTCTAGTATGTCAAAATTGTGAATCATTCTTTCATTTTTTTTGTTGAAGTTTTTCTTTCTTTTCGAAATAAATGTATATATGAGCATTGTGACAAAAAAAACTACATAAACTAAATGATGATAATGATTATCGAATAGAGCAATATAGAAAAGCGATTTTAAGCTTATCGATGATCATGATCATCATCATCATCATTGTCGAAAAGCAATGTAATATCAATTTTTTTTCCTATCTCTCTAAAAAACTAGAAAAAGGATGGGACATAAAACAAAAACAAAACAGCAAACCCAACAATTCCTGTGGTTTTTCCACGTTTGTCTTACTGTCATTGCTGCTGCCATTTTCGATTATAATGACGATAGAACTTATGGTCTTATTTTTTTGGGTAATGGCGTCTCTTAGACACAAAAGCAATAAGACCATCATCATCATCATCGTTTGTTGTTGTTGTTGGATTTCCTAACAAAAACAAAAATGTTCCCTATAGAAGAAAAAAAACATAAACAGTAAACAAAAAAAAAAACAAATGGAAACACTGGAAATTGTTACGTTTTTCGTTCTTGTTTTTATTCTCCACAACAATCGCATGATCGTGATGATGATCAAAAGACTATAGAGTGTATGTGATTTTCACAATTTTTTTTTCATTCGTTTCCATTCTGATCCTATCGATAATGATGAAAATTGATATACAAATTCAACCAATTCTTCGTGTATGTGTTATGCTACAGATAAATGAAAAAAAATGTCAGTAGATTGTTTTTTTGTTAGGTGGTAGTGGTGAATGGTTTGATTTGTAGAATACTAAGCCAGAATTTACGAATTATTATTCGTATATATATATGTTCTTATGCTATTTATGGAATATTTTTATATTCAATATAATATATTATGGTTTATGGCACGCAAATGTTTGTAACATTTGTCTACCATTTGTTTGTTGAGTCTTATAGTCGTGATTTTAGGATATTTTTAATGTATATGTCGATATCTCTTAAATCAAATTGAATGAAAGCAGGCAATTGAAGATTTGAAGAAAATTCAAGTAAATGAAAAATGTGACTATGTATGTTTGTTAGTTTATTTATCTCTATGTCATTGTATTTTATTATTATATATACAATGAAAAAAACTCTTCCAGGCTTTGGCATAGTAATCATCATCATCATCATCATCATCATCAGCATCATCATCGTTGACAATCAAAAATCAAATCGAATGGAATGTAATGAAATTTAATGTATTCTAAACCAATTGAAATTGTCAATGTTTGTTTATATTGTTGTAAGATTCCTTACATACATGCACAACATACACGAATATTGAATGTTCACAAGTTTCCTGAACATTTTTTTCTATATATCTCATCATGATAGAATATAGAATAGTTTCGATTCGGCATAGTAAATTTTTTGTCTTAGTTTTTTTTTTGTATGAAACCAGAACAATGTCATTATCCAGACCGAATAGGGACTGAGAAAAATAAACAGAAAAAAGCACACAGGCACACACACACACTTAAACACATAGTATTGAAATTATGGAATGTAATTGTGAAGTAACAAAATCTTGTCATAATAATCGTAGCAACATTGTAACCGACAATGATGATGTCAATAATAATGACAATTTATTTGGCTAGATCCTGTACACACATATATACTTTTTATTTTTCTGCTCTTTATTTCCCCACACATTCTATAATATTGGTCGACTAATATATAAAATATTATTACAATTACAATCACAATTATTATTATTATTATTGCTCCAAGTGTTCAAATAAAAACTAACAAAAAAAATATTGACCGAACTCACATTGAATGAGAGAGAGAAATATGAAATGTAGAAATGTTTGGTCCATGTCCGTTTATTTTGGTGTATTTGTGTGTGTGTGTGTTTATATGTGCGTGTCAACATTTGTTAAGTTCGTTTTCCGTTGATTATTGTTGTCTTTCCATATGGTGTGATTGTTTTGTATGGCGATTCAATTATGATTGAATGAGATTTTTTTTTCTCCCCATTTTTTTTTTTTTTTTGTTATTTGGTCTGGTTTGAATTCGTGTTTTAAAAAAATTGTTTTTTTTCGATGTTAGTTATATAACATTTTTTTTCTTTTGTTTCAAATTCTTCGAACACGTCCTATAGTAGATACTTTTGATGGGAAAAATGTAGTGATTTTTTTTATACGGATGTGATTGATTTAAGAATGAAACCTGATTCTTATTAAAATCTCATATACATAGTATTCGATTCTTCCATTATATTATGCACATATATTCTAATGTGTATTGAATTATGAAAAATATTTTTAAAAAGACATATAATCAATTTGAAAAGTGAAAAAAAATTCAATTTTAGCATTTTATTTATTTATATATAGAATTTTCGATATTTGTTCAAATATCAATTATCAATAAAGTTTGAATAATAATCATTAAAATTATAGAAAATTATAATTAATAATAATAATAAGAACAAGAGCAAATAATGAATTTTTTTTCTTTGAAGATAAAAACAATTTGAGAGCGACAGGAAGTTTACATAATGAAACAACATTTTTGAGAGACATCCGAATCAATAAATTGAATCGAATTGTTGAAAAGAAAAAAAAATAGAGTAAAACAATTTGAGAATTCTCAATGATGAAAGTTGAGGGAAGAAAAAAAACAAATGATAATGCGATTAATGGAAGATGAAGGATAAGGAAGAGAGTATAATAACTGTATGATTGAAGGGATGTAAATATCTGTGATGAGAGATGAAAAGAACATTCACCATAATGTGATAGGTCGGCATTTGAACAGCGAATGTCAAATTTTTTACCAATTTGACTGTACAATTCTGCTCTAGCCATATTCGATTTTTTTTTTGTAGATTAATTAATCGGTCGGTTTGTCTGATGATGGGATCGTTTTGGTTCAAGTGAATCCTTAATAATTTTTTTTTGTTGAAGTTGAATTTGTATTTTAAGATAAACAAGAATTGGTACGGGGTACCAAAGACGAATAATTTGTTTATAAAATGCAAGCACTTTTATTTGCAGAATATAAACCGGATTATTTTGAAAAAGTTTAACACACATACTTAATCGATATAATGAATAGGAGATAATAATAAATCGTAGATTGAATAATTGAATAACAGAAAGAAAATTTTTTTGTTTTTCTTTTTTTTTGTATAAAATAGTAGTTGAAACATTTTAATAGAATTTTTAAAGGTGTTTAAATTCCTAACAGAAAGGAAAAAAAAGAGGAGATATTGAATTCAGACGACAGGAAAAAAGGAATTTAATAGTAATCAGCAGATGAGTATTTTAAAGGTAGAAAGAGTGTATGTATGTCGTTTTTTTGCATTGTTTTGTTTCACAGGTAATATTGCACCGGAATCGAATTGATTGTTTTTTTAACAAAAAGGATAACGTGTGAACTGAAAACATTTTTTAAAAACAATAAGAATTTAAATAAATATTGAAGAATGAAATAATTTCAACAATAAACACTCAAACAATCACACGCACACACATTTTTATCATTTCGATTCCAAAGATGTAAGGGGTGTTAATTTTTTTTTTGTGTTGTTGCCATCTCTGTTCGAATGAGTGAATTTTCAATCATGTCTCTATGTGTGAATGTGTGCGTGGATGGATCTCGATTATTAAATTATTTACATTAATATAAATTTTTAACATTATTGCACTGGATAAAATCATCATTTGTTTCGTTTGTATTTTGATTTAAATTTTTTTCTGTCTCTTTTTTTTCCATTTTATTTCCTTTGGTTTGTTCAATCATCGATTAAAAATGATATTTATAATACAATAGAAATGTGTTTTAGAAAAAATAAAAATAAAATAAGAACAATGTGCCTTGTGAGATTTTATGTTGATAATAACGATGATGATGATGATGATGATGATGAAATCTCTAGTCAAAAAACTTGGGATTCGATAAGTCGGCCAAACATTTTTGTCATCAAAATTCGAATTGTGAATCATTTATTCAGTGTAGATAAAAAAACGTTATTGGATTCCCGTTTCCGTTTATGTGTGTTGTTAGATTAGTTTTTTGTTGTTGTTGTAAAGAATTCACAATGGAATAGACAGAATGAAAAAAAACCAAAGATTAATTTAATTGACTAGATGTTGTCGTTGCTAACAAACAGACACAAAACTTTGCCATGGGGGAAGTTGAGTGTTCCAAAAAAAATGAAAATGAAAATTCCACGCCAGCGGCCACATAAAATACAAAATGACCAAAAACAATGAAATTTTTTTTGTTGCGTCCATGTTCAAACAATCGAACTTTATGTTTTTTTTTCAGTTCGAATCGTTCAATTATAGTCTGATATTTTATCTAAATACAAAAATCTTTTGTTTTGTAAATATTTCTTCTTGTCACCCCAATTGTCATCTTATTATTATTGTTGGTGATTGGTTCTATTGAGACTTTGTATCCATTTATGTCGTCGTTGAAATTGAAATTCAAAGAAATTCAAGGATCTATCCTTATCTTTTTCTTGTTTTTACAGTATTGAAAATTTTTCTTTCTTTCTGATTTTGGCCTTTTAAAAACGTGATTAGTGACAATCTTGTAGCAGATGCACGTACACATCACATCAGAAAACGATAATGATAGTTAGTTTTTTGTAGTTGAAACAAATAAAATCGATTTCATTAATCGTTGCTTTTCAATCCTTGACATATTTATTCTCCACTAGACCAACGTCCATGGTTGATCTATATGTACAGCTGAATGATATAGCATCATTTCTTTGTGATTCCAAACATTTCAGATGACAACAACGACAAAATATATTCCTTAATGTTTCTTTGAATGCTTCACGAAATTCGCGATTAAAATAGGCGTATATAATTGGATTCATAGCTGAATTTAGATATCCAACCCAGAATACGATATGTACGATAACTTTTGGTATTTCGGCATTCGTTATGGTGCTCAAAACATACCATATAAAAAACGGTAGCCAACATAAAATGAATGCACCCATAATGATGCCTAATGTTTTAGCTGCTTTATGTTCGCGTTTCATTTTCGATATTGTACGTTTGGTCGGTGTTGATGAACCTGATTCAGGATCAGCATCACAATGTGAATTTCGATGTGACGGTGCTGATTGAATCTAAATATTTAAAACAGAAGAAATTAATCGGGCAAACATGACAAGATGTAATGTAATTGAAGGAATCGAATGCGAAGTTAAGAAGAATAAAAAAAATGTTGTAAGCCATGTTCGGATGATTCATTAACCAACGGATCCATTGAGATACATAGAAAATAAAAAAAGAAAAAAAAAGAAAAATCATCAGTATATTAAAATCATCATGATTATTAAAATTATCAACTAAACACACATTTACACATAAAATTGCACGATCAAAAAAACGGTAGAAACAAAATAAAGTCCAAAAATAATGTTATATGAGTATAAAACGTTTATAACCCATACCTTACGCATAATATACCCCGTACTTAAAACGAAAACATGTTTAAACCATGGATTAGCCGCTGGTTATTTAATGATTGTTTGAAATAAAGAGAATTTTTTATCATAAAAAGTTTGTAAATAATCAAATGAATGTTGTTTTATCATATCATTTTATTTATTCATTTGATTTTTTTTTCTGGATGCTAATTATCTAAAGAATTCAAGAGAATTGCTATGGTGATTTAATATGAACATCATATATTATTGTCGTATATAATCTTGTAGCTGTAGGCCGTTGATTCTTTTTTTCTTATTTATATAACGATAAAATTGAATTTTTTTCATCTATTTCTATTTACTCTTGATTCATTCATTTATTTATTCAGCTATTTCAGGTTTTTTTTCTGCCAGAATCAAAAGATTAAATTTTTCTTTTATTATCGTTCAGCGTTCTAATGAGTCGTATGAATTTGATTGCTTGATTTAATTACATTAATATGAATTCTTATTTTTTTCCAAATAGAGATACAATACTGTTGAATAAAATTTTTATTTTTTACACATTGGCATTTTGCCCTGATGACGAAAGTAATTCATTTTTTACACACACACACAAGCACACACATAAACACTCATATATGTAGACATTCAAAGTACCAGATATAATTTCTATATAAAACAGAAATTCTAGAAAACACACTGCAATCCACTTTAATCATTCGGTTTCAAAAACAGCAATATTAAAGGTGTTATACAAATATTGTTGTTTGGTGTTTGGGTTTTTTTTGCAACAAATTCTATTTAAACATATTTAAATTTATTCATTTGAATCATTTCCATGGAATTGCATCCTATTCAATAATTATTCTAGTTTATTTTATTATTCTCTTTTTCAAAATCTCTTGCTCGCTGACTGGCTCATTCACTCATTCATTCATTTATTCACTCACTCACTCACCCAAAAGAAGAAGAAGGCTATCAGGTCTAACAAGGTCAAGTGGAGATGATTATGTAAAACGAAAGAACAAAAAAAAGACAGGATACAAAAAATTTCAAAGAAATTCCACTCGATGTGAATCATTTCTTTGTATTGGCCTGGTACACAAATTGTAACATCATGTTTGTTTCTATACATTCTGACACTTGGGCCTATGTTCAGGCTATGTTTCGTTAAGATGATGTTAACTATAGTATATTAATTAGATTTTTTTTTGTTTTTTTTTTTTTGCACATTGAATATTCAAAATGAAAACAAACATGAAGTATTTTTGCTACAATAATTTGAGTGTAGTTTTTTTGAATAAGAAATCCAATTTAAAGGCATAATTTAAACCCTTTCATTCATTTATACAGTTTGTTGTCATTGTTATTTTTTCCATTTGCAGTAATATTATTATCATATCTCAAGTACTATAGTACACTTTAGTGGGTATCTGTGTATGTCTTTATCACATGTTTACGTAAACAATCATCGACAACAACAACAACAACAACAATTAGAAAATCATTGAAACATGCATCCATTGTCAAACCGAACCAAGCAAAACATCAACATTGTTGACAATTTTGTTGTTTTTGATTTGTATATTATATTTTATACGACTATATTGATCTATAGAGAAAAATAATGGTGATAAGCATAAATTTCTATTCAAACAAATTGTTGTTGTAGTCGTTGATGATTATGATGATGATAATAATTAATAATAAGTTTTATTATTGCCAACATTCATCATCAACAACAACAAGAACGAGGACAACAATTTCATTTGCAGTCTCTATAGTGCAATTTTGATTATTATTATGAACAAAAAATCTAGCTATAGTAAAAAAAAAATCAATGAATAGATGAATGAAAGGGAAAATTATTTTCTGTTTTTCACGTTTCATATTGTCCATTCTAATGATAATAATAATAATAATAATAATAATCGATACGGAAATGTTGATTTTTTTTCATTTGATTGAAAAGGAAAATACGGAAGTGTGGAGAGAAAAATAAATAAATAAATTGATGAATTCCAACATCATGACAACCTTATATAGCTGTGATGTTATTGAAAAAAAATGGACATTCTAACGGGAACAAATGACCGTTTGGTGAAAAAAAGCCTTTTTAAAAAAAAAAGATTTTTTTTTATATATATAGACATCAAACAAATGGACATGTGCATGACGATCACCAACATCATCATCATCATCAATGCAATTCATTTAGAACTATGGATTTTTTTTTACGTCAACCAAAACCATAGCAAGAATTTCAACAACAACTTCAAGAAAAAAACGTGTCGTCTAATCGACACGAGCGAAAAATAATGTCAAAAACATCTGGCGATTGTTTTGTGTTCATTTTGATGATGGGTGGTCATCTTGTTTTTTCACAAGAATTTCCAAAAAAAAAAATTTCTTGAATATTAATGAAACTGAAAAAAAATCGCAGAAAAGCCAGAAAAAAATTGTATTTGATATTCAGAATCGAGTTTTTTTTTTTCGTTGAAAAAATTCGTATTGTTTTTTTTCCTCCTATATGATCGGTTTCATGGTAAACAGTTTTTTTTCTGTTTTTCAAAATCAGTATAGAAAGAGATTTTTTTTTTTGTTCTCATTGTGTGTTTATTATTCGCTGGAAAATTGGTTATTTTTTTTCTTCTTTGGCTACAACAATTTTAATTTTTTTTCATCAAATTTTTCAATGTATCTTATTTTGATTCTTGCCATAATGATCCTTTTGATACTTTTATCGATACATTCGTTTAGAGTTGTTTACATTCTCACATTTGTTTATAAATTAATTAGCTTAAGATTTGATTGATTCAAATTGTAGAATATAAAAGTGGAATTGTTTTGTCTCATAAATTGTTGAAAAAATAATTTGATCAAACAATCAGACAAGGCGTTTTCTTTTTTGTAAATATACAATTCAACCCATTTTGATTTATATCGTACACAGAGAATCTAGCTATCACAGAATCGACTGTCTTTTCTCATTTCATAGTTTATATGTTTTCGTCGTAGATTTTCATGAAAAAATGGCTGGACTTGATTGATAAAAAAAAATTTCTTCTTCTCCTCTATTTCTTTCTTCTTTTTTTTTGGTTCTTTCATCTTTTCAATAATTGTGCTAGAATTTTTTAATTAAATTATCATTTAGATCGAAAACGAAATTTGATCGCTTTTAATTTCGTTTCTGGTGCTGTGTACATTATTCGTGTGTGTGTGTGTCAGCCGTTCAATCTGTCATCCTATTCTATTTTTTTCCTTTCTTTTTTTTTGGTCTAATAATGGAGAATATATAAAAAAGAGAAGAAAAAAATCGATTCCAGAATCGTTTGATATCTATTTTTTTTAGTTATTCAGCAGTTAAAAACAGATCAGACAATCATTATCATTATTATTTTTCTGGTCTTGATAATCGGTGAGAAGAAATTTCTAGTTAATAAAATTTTTTTTCTATTTTTTAAAAAACAACAAATTCATAGATTATATGTGATGTGACAATTACACAGTATTGACTATTGTATCTGTCACTTTGAAATTTAATCAAAAATAAATTCAATTTTTTTTCCAATTGAAAACGAATCAAAAAAAAATATTGAATTTATAGATTATTAGTTTGAATTCTTCCTGAAATGATGAATACAATGAAGCCAAACACATTTGCAATATGATGACACATTGTGATTATTCTTATTGAAGAGGAAAAAAAATTTATTTTACATTATTTGAACTGTATTCTTGTTATTTTGCTATTGTTGTTCGTGTTATTTTCAAAAAAAATTCAAGTTTTAGCTATCAAAAAAGATTAAGTTTTTTTTGAAAATAAATAAATGAATAAATAGAAAAATAGAAAATTTCAGCTCTTTGTTCAGCTGTATACAGCAGTGCCATTGACAATGATGATGATGATGATGATGATGGTCAATTCCATTCTATGATATTAAAAAATTTTGTATTCTTGTTTGCTAGTCGGTCATTTTTATGTTCAATTTTTTTTGAATAAATGAATGAATGAAAAAAAATAGCAAGATTGATAGGAAAATAAAAAGATATAGTGGTAGAAAAAATAACAAGTCACCTTTTTTTACATCTGATGAATGAAGGGATAAATTCTGTCTCTTATATGACTGAATTTTAACATTAAAAAAAATTACCATGGCTTTTATTTGGTCATAGTACAATATGGCTTTCTCGAATGGCATATGCAAACAAATTGAATCGAACCAAACTTTTTGAATATAAAAAAAAATATAAGCGCAAAACCAAACATCTCAAAATACACAAACACATTTGAACTTGAAGGAAACAGGACAAAAAAATTTTAAAATTTAAATTCAATTCAATAAAAGGACACAGATTTTGAAATTGGTAGAATCCGACCGTAATGTTTTCTGTAAATTATGTTATACACACAAAGCATACATCAACAATTGACTAGAAAAAAATTACTTGCACATATTCATTGGCAAACAAAATTGTTTTAACCATAAGTCAATTGTAAGTCCAAACAACGACAATGACTACATGGATACAAAAAGAGTGATATACTGACTATGGTTAGTTTCAAAAAAAAATGATGATGAAATTTTGGTTTTTTAAAAAATTTGATTTTTTTTAGAAAAAATTTCCGAATCAATAATGGCTGTGATGATATTAAGATTGTCAAATCAAATTTTATATTATTGCTGCTCTAA